TGAAACCCATGCGCTGGGTCCGCTTTCCTTTGATTCCCGTTCTGAGAACCGAGCCAGCGTTGACTAGATGGCAGTGAGGGCTTGTTTTTTAAGAGAGGATCCAGGAGACCTGGTGGGGCTGTGGGTTCGGCAGCAGGCTGCGACACAGAGTCGCCGTGAGTTGGGATTGACTCGGCCACAGGAGGTTAGTGGGAAGACCAGTCTGAAGCAGAGAAACGACGATCAGGAATCTTTTCACAGAGTTTCAGGATAAACCAGTTCTACGTCCCCTTGCCATTAACGAGAACACAGCCCCGCCTGAGACAACAGCGCTGTTTGCACATGAAACTTGATCTCCTTGGAGCCCGGGGGCACTGCCCTGCTGGCCTGCTAGCCAGAAGGTTGATGGCCAAGCCAACCAGCCGCTCCACAGCAGAAAGGCGAGGCTGTCAGTTCCAGTAGGGGTTACACACAGCCGTGGAGTCCCTAGAAAACGGTGCCACGCCTCGGAATCGGCTCGGTGGTGGTTCTGCTTTGGTGTTACCCACAGGGCTTCCAACCAGTTAGATCCTGCTTGACCCCCTGCTGAGACGGTCCATTTCGACGCAGATACACGTCAGCACCTACAGTTGATAGGAACTCTTACCGGGACAAACTGGGACGGACCAGCTGGAAGCCCTGGTTTACACACAGCTCTCCTCAGGTTCCGGGGAGTGTGGGGTGGTGGGGGGCGAACTGTGCTGGCCTAGGAGATTTTTATAACGCCCCTGACCCCCAGCAGCTTCTCAGACAGCTGTGGTCTCATACCGAGTGTCCACGGACCCATTCACCCGTGTTGCTCAGAGAGAGGAGTCGATAGAAGGGGGCGAAGCCTTCAGGCGCATGAGTTCTCTGCATGGATTTATTTTTTTATCAAGGCCAAGACAAAACACAGTCCAGTCCTTAAATGAAAGGATATTTCCCGGATTTATAAAGATGAAGTGAGCAAGATGCGAGGGGCCTCTTTTCAGGACTTACTGTGAGTGGGAGGGCAGTACCTCATGATCAGGGTAAGCACTGGCTTACTGGTGCTTACTTGTCAATCTTACGTATCTCACACATCTCGTCAGATGTGGCAAAAACATGTGGAACTGTCCAGTACTGACCAGTAAGCACGCATCTGTAAGCCTGTGCTTACCCTGCGTCCACCAGTACCAATGATGAGCCTATTTCACACAGGCCAGGGAAGGGCACGGAGGGAGGCAGAGGCAGCTAGTGAGTTAGCCGTGAATACCTGAAAGCAGGTGCCCTCAAGACAATTCAGACTCACCGAGTCCCTTCCTCTGTGGGTTAGAGTAGAGCTGAGCTCCCTAGGGCTTCAGTGGTTCCCACCAATACTGATGAAGAGCCCAGTATGGGCCCGAGGCATGGTGGTTCTGGTATAGGACGGTTGTCTTCTATCAAAGAGACCCCCGGGGAGAAAGATGAGGCTGTCTTCTCCCGTAAAGAGTTACAGTCTCGGACACCACAGGGGCAGTTCACCCTGCCCTGCTGGGTCCCCGTGAGTCAGCATTGACGGGGGTGGTGGTGGTGAGGATGACTGAGACGCGGGGTGATTGCAGGCTGATGGAGCTCTTGTGGAGGGTGTCCTGCTGACAGGACCTGAGCAGGTTTCATGGGGGTTTCCGACTACCACGGACTAAGAAGAAAGGGTGGTGATCTACTCTGAACACCCATCCTTACAAATGCTCTGGGCCTGGCAGCGGTCGTGAGGGTGGCCTGGGATGGGGCAGCCATTCCTTCTGTGAGGTCCCTAGGAGTCAGGAACCCACTGGATGGCAGCGAACAGAAACAGGGTGCATAGGGTGCTGTGTAGAGAGCCAGCCCGGGGTAACACAAAACACCAAACAGCCAGGGTTCTGCCACTTTGGAGTTTACACACCAGTTGGGGTAGGAGATAAATAATCCACAAAGGTGAGCTGGGGCGGGGGGTGTCTAGTGCTTGTACGTTGCAGTGACAGAGAAGCAAGGTAAAGGGAAGAGAGCAGAGTGGGGGTGGGCAGCAGGGAAGCAAGAGAAGGTTTGGTGAGAAGCTTTCAGTTGAGACTGAATGGAAAAAAAGGAGCATGCTCAGAGACGCTAGGGGGGATAATATTTCAAGCAGGAGAAGCACCGAGTGCAAAGCCCCGGAGAGCACAAGCAAGCTTGGTGTGCCTGAGGGACAGACAGGAAGCCGGGGTGGTCAGAGAGCATTACATGTGCAGCCAATCACTGCAAGTGGAGATGGAGACAAAGGTAGGTGCTAGATCATGTTGGCTCCTGTACGTCAGGGTAGGAGCCTGGTTTCTTCCAGCTGCCAGAGAAGGTCAGTGGGGGGTTTCAAACAGAGAAGTGTCACGTTCGATGATGCGGGCAACTGTGAGGAAGGGACTAAAGAAGGAGGCAGGAAGGGATGGGGAGGGTAGGCAGGAGGCGGTTACAATCCAGGTACTGTGCATTGACTTGCGTCCCTCCAAAGCCCTATACCTGAGGAGGGCATGGAGTCTAATCTAATATAACCACCTTCCCCAAGGCCAGGATAGTGGAAGGCAAGCCATTCAACTGAGGTTGTACGTGGAGTAGGTTGGATCCAAAAAACGTAACCACGCCTGAGCTCCTTAAGGAGCAGATGAGACAGAGAGACCCGAGCCTTTCGGACCGGGGAGGGCACATACCGTGTTGAGGATCACCAATTACCCAGGAAAGTCTGAGGTTACCGACATGCATGGACGCCACGAGGCCAAGACCTTTCTTTGAACGCTGAGCCTCCCCAGTGGTGAGAAAAGGAAAGCTCTGTTCTTTAAGGCCACCCTTGTGACAGCTTGGGGACAGCCCCGCCAGGGAAGGGGGACACCAGGCGAGCGAGGGTCAAGGTGGCTTGGGCTGGAGCGTCAGTGGGGAAGCGGACCGGGAGTGAAGGCAGTCTGGATATACCCCAGGTGGAGTGCACCGGGTCTTAGGAGGAATGTGCCCGAGAGGTGGCCTACCGAAGACCTTGAGGTGGACGGCTGCATCCTGCTCGCCGGCCTTGTTCTCAGCGATGCAGACATACTCGGCCTCATCGTCCTTAACCACCTCCCTGATGGTCAACTCAGAGCTGTCGTCGCTGAAGAAGTACTTCTCGTCCTCTTCCTCCTCGATCTGTTCCCCATCCCTGGGGGGGGGGGGGGCACAGAGGCAAAGCTGCCATGATTTTGACCACGGAGATAGCATACTTACTTTTAACGAATTTCCATACATTCAGGCTACAGCAATTGGGGAGGTAGGGGGTGGCGCAGGAATTCGGGCTTCACAAAAAAGCTCAGATGCCAAATTATGCTTCTGTGGACCCCCGCTACCCCTCCATTGGATCCTCCACCACCCTGTCAATTGATTATACCCCAGAGGGTTTCCAAGAGAGCTCCCTCTAAGACCCTGACCTCTGGTTCTGTCCCTACAAGGCTGACCTTGGCAGAATTCAAAGCACAAGGCAAGAGAACATGAGAGAGAAGAATCCATTCTTCACCTGGCGTTGACTGGCCCCAGAAGTCCACCCATTCCCCTGAAATGCCAACAGGGGCCCCAAAGGAGTCCCAGGGTGATCCCCTTTCCTTGAGCCCATGCCTTACTTTGTCCAGCTCATAGTGGGCTCTGGGAAGCCCTCGGCGTCGCACACCAGGGTGACGGACTGGCTGAGGTTGGCAGTGGCGTTCACTACGCTTTGCCTGGCCTGCACAGTGGGCGGCACTGGAGGAAAGAAGGCATCGTCAGGGGTGGTTCTGGAAAACTCAGCGGAGGGACCCAGCAGACCAGAGGAGAGACACTTTCACCAGAGGAGGGGGGAAGGGGACATTCCTGCTCCCAAAAGGTCCCAGCCCTGTGAGTCAGGAGCTTGTGTGGGTGTGGGGGCTGCAGAGTTAGCATCCGGGTTCTAAATCCATGTGTGTACAAAATAGTTACTGGAACTAACTAACTCATCCACCCCCAAAAACATACATTGCCATTTTTGTAAAAGAGTTCACAAGTCTTCCTGATGCCTCTACTCATGTTTAAATGGCGTTCGATTTACAGAGGCGGTTCAGTTAGGACCTATTTTCTCAATCAAGGCACCCTAGACTTACAACTACCATGGCCTCTCGATACGGGAAAAAGATGGGAACTATTGCTCCTGGTGATGAAATGGTTAATCCCAATCTGGAATGCACCAGTTCACCCCAGATTGACGTTCCTCCAGGACCTCCCCAGAACACCATTGTGCACAAACTGTATTACCGAGGGACTGAGAGAGAGAAAAGGGTTTGGTAAACAACAACAATAACAAACCCCTCTTATCTTTGTATCAATAGCCCAAACAATTCGACCATGATTTACTTATTTTCTTGGGACTGACATTATAATTTCCTGTACACAGCTTGTAAATGTCAGATCGATTCCACGGGTGTGTTTATTTGACACCGCAAATTAAGATTAATAAGCCCACGGGCTGCGATTCGAACTATTCTGCGGCCCGGATTGATTGTAATATTTCTTCCAACATTGAAGCAGGGGACGGGCTTCCTCATTCTGTACCACCAAGGACAGTGAGGGTGACGAAGAAGGTATTGACGAAGAAGGTATTGATGAGCATGGGCAAAGTGTCTAGGGTCATAGACAATGGAGGGCATTCAATAACAATGCCAAACACCCCCACTGTGGAGGGCAGGCCCCAAAGCAAGCACATTTAATGGAAAAGAACAAGAAGAAAGGGCCCAGGGGTTACTTGACAAACCCCAAAGGAAGGTAAGGTGAGTGAAGTTTGGGGAGCAGAAGGTGCAGAACGGAGGGTGGGGGCAGGAAGAGCGGCTCCCCTCACCATTCACGATGACTTGAATATCCTTGAAGTTGATCTCCCCCCGTGCCAGGATTCTGCCCTCACAGCGATAAATGCCCTCATCCGTTTTCTTGATGCCTCGGATCTGCAGGTAGTTGTTGGACAGGACTATGAAGCGGACTAGAGAGACAAGAGACAAGAGCAGGTCCGTTCAAGGATCGGTCAGAAAGCACTGGAATCGGCAGGCAGAGAGCTGTCCTTCCTCCCTTCTTCATCGCTTCGGTCTTAGGGGTGCGGGTGTTAACACAGAAATACACACACGTGTCCCCAGTGCTGGCATGTAGGCTGGAGCAAAAGTCTATTGAAAGTCTATTTTTCTCTTCTGCTTGGAAGAGAAAAATACTCCAGCGGCTGAACATGCCAGGGAAACTCCATGTGGTCTCTGGGACACGGGACCCTGACTTTGGACCGGGTTGCCCCACTGGGCTGGCCGAGGTGGGACACACCGGGGATCCTGTGGCCCTGGGGACAAGGCAGCTGCCCTGAGATTCAGATCTCACCATCTTTTTTCAGGATGACATCTCGGCCTTTGTGCTTCCAGATGATGGTCGGGGGGAGGGAGCTGACCACGTCGCACACGATCACCGCGTCCTCCCCCTCCCGGAACTCCTGCGGGGTTGGTGCATTCTTGAACATGAGCTTCTCTGGAAAGACAAAAGCAGCAATGGGAGCGTGAGGAGAAGCCACTCTTTCTCCCATAAGACGTCCCTTTCCAGCAGAGCCACTGCGGCCGGATTAGAGTCCCGGGTCACACTCTGTCTGGACACCGGCCGATTGAGCAGGGCTCTAACTCATCACTTGGCCAAAGACGTGCAAGACATAGACACTGGCACACGTCATATGCCGTCATCACCCGGCAGTCGTCGCTGTCTGTCTACCTGCCGAGTGACAAAGGTATCCTACTTTGGGCTCCACGGTGTCCAGGGGGCTGCCGGACTGCCATTTGCAAGCACCCCCGTCCATGGGCCGGTGCCAAAGAAAGATGCTGTAGAGGAGGAAAGGAAGGCCAGGGGGGTGGCTGTTCTGTAACGCAGGGCAGCAACAATCACCCTTTTTGTCTGCCTCCCGCTCCCCTCCACCCCACCGCCACCCCACCTCACCCGATTCTCCCTCAGCAGAGAGGATTTGAAGAAGAAAACAGAAGAAAAGCAGACTTAGAGGACGGTCGATAATGATCCATGAGCCGTCACCCACCATCCCACCAGCCAACGGGACCCACGCATGATCATATGGTAATGAGACGCCACCCCCAGACAGGGTTTCACTGCCATGGGGAATTGTCTTCTCTCCTTGGCTTGGGAGTTCGGATATAATTCCACCCTCCACCGAGCCTCTGGGGCTCCATTACCAGGAGGGAGCGTGAGATCAGAAGAGAAGACGGGAATGGTATGCTAGTCAGTGGATACCTGGAGAAGGGACGATACCCCTAACTGCCCTCGGAGAACTGTGTGAGATGGACTGCGAGGATGGCGGTCAGTGAAAGGCGGCTGTGACCAGTGTGGACCAGGATGGCAGGTTCTGAGGTTGGCCAAGGACGGTTTAAGAATTGGAGCTGTTAGCTCGGTTAAGAGAGGATTTAGGCTATTGAGGTTTAATTTTAAAAAATTGTTTTTTGCTATGCTATGAAATCCAGCTAGGTAAATCTATAGAGATAATAACTGGATTAATGATTCCTTAGGGTCATGGTTAGGGAGGTGGGGGGTGGGGTGGTGGGCAGGAATTGGGGAGCTGATAATAATAAACACAAGGAAGAAGAAAATGTTCTAAAATTGACTGTGGAGATGATGTCACAACTCTTTGAATATGCTTAAGCCACTGAATTGTATGATATCTGAATTATATGTCCACAGAGCTTACAATTTTAAAAAAGGAGAGAGAAGACTTAGGGAGAGGAAAGGGGAGGGGTACCAGCTAAACTCATGTCCCGTCCCGACATTGCCACCTGCCCTGTTTCCCACCCAGGTGTCTCCCAGGCCAAAGGAGGGGACAGGGGTTGTCAGAGCAAGAGCGGACGGCGCCTCTTACGGAAGATCTTCACGTTGACCGTGGCCTCAGACTCGCCGCCGTCCTCGCCGGTGACCACGCACTTGTAGATGCCGGCGTCATCGATGTTGGCGTTGTAGATGGTGAGCGTGGAGGAGGAATCATCGTTCCACACCACAGAGATCCGCTGCTGGTTCGGGGTGAGTTTTTCTCCATTGGGGGAGAACCAGGAGATGTCTTTATCTTTGGCATCGCCTGCCACTGCAGAGGCAGAGACTCGTCTCAGGCCCGGGAAGGGAAAAAGACAAAGTCCTCGCACCCCCACCCCCAGCCCTGGGGAGGTCAGCCGGAGCTCAGTACAAGCCACTGAACAGCAGGACTCTCGGGGAGGGACCATTGATCGATACACAACACGTTCCCTGGTGTGTGAAACTAACAGCCAAGGCTTCTGCTGGGATTTCCCCTAGTGGTCCGATCCTTGAAGAGACAAGGGGAGGTAAGGGAAGAGAATGGTTTTTGAGGGCCTACTGTGTGCGTCGCTACTAAGGCACGCAGTATCAGAAGCGAGAGAGGCACATATATCCAGAACCTGAGCTCAAGGCCTCTGGCTGGTCAGCTTGTTTTCAAGAGCTGTGAGCATGGGCTTCTGGGTTGAGGGTGAGAGAGTAGCTCACCTCAGAGTACAGGTTCCAACCCCTTTGATTCTGCTACCTGCCATTTCAGCTCACCTGGCGCTGGACAACTCACTTCCTTAAACACGCCTCTGAGAAGGTGGCCAGAATTTCCAAGCCTCCTTCCCGCAGGCCCCCAAGATAAGCAGACAGTTGCTTAGCCCGCCCAGACCCTGAGCCCAAACCAGCAGGGTGCTTAGTATGGAAATGAAGCAGCCTTCCTTTCAGGGCCCATCATGTTTTCAATAAATATCGCAATTTGCAAGATGTGCTGTGGGCTCGGTGGCTGCCTCTCCAGATCATTTAAATTGCTGTAATGAAGGCAAAACTGAAGCGCACATCCACCAGCCACTGCACTGCTGCCGCCACCACAGCAAATCGTGATTGCACTTAAAAGCTCCTCCCTGCAAAGGCTGTTTGCTAAATGTCACGGTTTACACCCAGCTCAGCTCTTTCCTGGTCCTCTGAACCCCAGGAAAGTCACAGACGAGAAGCCGAATTGAAACCCTTTCTCCCACCAGACATTCCCTGATCATTTTCTGGACTGAGGAGACTGGTCTATCTTGTATGCCCCTACCCCCCAGACCCACACAATGAGAGCACCTGGTCTGAGAATGTCTAGCACTCTGCTGGGGACAAGGGGACGGAGCAGTTGCTTTATCAGCCGTCCTGGAAAACCCAGGACCTGCGTCGTCAGAGCTGGAGAGAAATCAGACCTCAGTGCACTTTCATAAGCATGTGGATCTCCGTGGATTTCCTCTTCTAAGAGATGCTACGAAGTAAACTGAGGACCCCCTGAAGCAGGATTCAGGGCCGTGTTCTGCAGAACCACTCGCAGAACTCCAGCGGACTGCTACGCAGAGAGGCCTGGCAGCGATTCACGGCTTTTGTGAGTTGTGCTGACTTTCCCCGAGGGAGTCCTGAGACGCTCCTCGTTACCACGCGGGGATGGGGATAAC